CACACACACACACACAGTACGCCTACAGCATATAGTACGCCTACAGCATACATCCGACTTTTAATTCTGTTGATAGGGACCTGGGTGATAGAGCATGTGAGTAAACTGTTATTTCTAGCAGAATTAAATAAGTTAATGCCTAAAATTGACAACTAGTTTGAACACTAGCTGGTTTTATTTTTTGTTTGTTTGTTTGTTTTTCTGTTAACTTGACACAAGAAAGAGTCATCTGGGAAGAGGGAACCTCAATTAAAAATGTCCCCACCAGATTGGCCTATGGAATATTTTCTTGATTGATGTGGGTGGGTTCAGCCCATGCAGGAGGGTAGTTACACCCTTGGACAGGTGGTCATGAATTATACAAGAAACCAGGCTGAGCAAGCCATGCAGAGCAACCTCTAAGCAGTATTCTTCTGTGGCCTCAGCTTCAGTTTCTTCCAGATTTCTGCCCTGACTTCCCTTCACAAACCATTGTGTAATCTACAAACTGACACAAACCCTTTCTTTCCCATACTGCTTTTCATCACAGTGTTTTTTTGTTTTGTTCTGTCTTGTCTGTCTGTTTTTGTTTTTGTTTTTTGAGACAGGGTTTCTCTATGTAGCTTTAGACCCTGTCCTGGAACTCGCTCTGTAGAACAGGCTGGCCTCAAACTCAGAGAGATCCGTCAGCCTTGGCCTCCCAAGTGCTAGGATTAGAGGAGTGTGCCCCCACTACCTGGCCTTGATCAGTGTTTTAACAGCACTAGAAACTCTAAGAAAATGGTCATCCTCTATTATCACATATTAAAATTATTGTCTTCGGCAAGTTTTTTATTTTTCTTTTTTTCCGTTTTAACCTTTTATCCTCTATCCAGAAATTACCAAACTCTGTTTGTTTCCATAATCTAGTAGAAGTTATGACATCTCTATCCTTTCTACTTATTTCATGAGGGATCAGAATATGATTTAAATGGAGAAATCATGTGTAGGAAGGAGCTGAAGTCAAACAACACAGCAGCTCTGATGAGGGAGCAAACAATGGTAGTGGTGGGGTACGACAAGAAGTTGTGTAATATGCCAGTCGGTGGTGGCGCATGTCTTTAATCCCAGCATCCGGGAGGCAGAGGCAGGTGAATCTTTGTGAGTTCGAGTCCAGTCTGGTCTACAGAATGAGTTCCTGGGCAGTCAGGGCTGTTACACAGAGAAACCCTGTCTTGGGGAGGGGAGGAGATCAGTTCCTTGGTCACACTAGCTACATTTGAAATGTCCAACTGACTCAATAGCTGCACAAATCTGGACATCTCCATTATGGCTAAAAGTTCTTATTAACAATGCTCTGAACCCTTTAGGGTTGTTTCACCTCTTCTGCTACTGTCTGGATGCTCAGCTCCTTCTTCTGCCTGGCTCCATTCCCCTTTTTGGGGGGATTGCAGGATCTCTCTTTGCAGCCCTGGCTTGCCTGGAACTCACTATATAAACCAAGCTGAACTTGCAGTGATTCTCCTGTCCTCTGACACACAAGTGCTAGGATTACAGACAGGTATCATCATGCTCAGCTTTCCTCTGCCTCTCAAAAAGTTTGCTTCTAGCCCCAGGCCTAGTCAGCCTGATCTTGCTTGAAGACTATGGCTTGGCTCTAGGGAATAGGGTCTGTGCTATCTGTGGCTAAAAGGGCTATAAGGGGCTGTTATATCTGTGGTTGTCAGGGATGAGGTGTCTGAGGTGTCTGGACCATCCCGGATGGTAGGGGATGGGTGTCTAGACTGCTGGTGGCTGACCTGCTCAGTTCAGTACCATGTGAATTGCACTTTTTCAACCACCAGTCAGTCTTCAGGCTTACACCTGCTCTGTTTTGTTCTATCGAGGGTTGAATGTATTCAGGGCAAGAAGTCTCTTTTCCTGGCTTTCGGAGTGGGCAGGTGGGTCTGCTTACCACCCTAGTAAAGGACTCCACTAGTCAGACTCCGGGATCTTTACCTCCCTCTTCCGCATCCCGCTGTCTTCACTTCCCTACACCCCACTCTTTCTATCAGAACACCTATCCTTTCTATGTTCTAGTGACCAACAAGCAATTGCCAGATGCCTTCTAACCTATGGAAGATGTCAGACTTAAGCGGCAACATTCCCTGGATAATGAGAAGCAGAGGATGACACAGCTAGAGAGGTCTCTGACCCTCCAAGTCTACTTGGTCATCTGATACAAGTGCAGGAAACAGCCCTGGATGGAGTAAAGGTTAAAAGGCTCACGATCTCACAGACAGTGTGTGAGGGCCAGGGGCTTCCCAGAACTACATTCCTGGGTATGTTTTCTGCCCTTCCCAAGACAGCATGCCTTTTACTGAAAAATGTGTTCCCTAGGCCCTAGGTCTCCCTCCATGCACAGGGAAACTGGCAGGAATGGGATATGCTTAGGGAGAAAGGCACTCGACCTTTCTCACTGAAGCCTCCATGGAAGGAAGCTGCCCTATCCTCCCACCCAAGGTCCCTCCTCCTTTGGTCATTCCTTCTATTAGACACCATGTCTCTGTTTTGAACACTTTCAAGGGGCACAGGAAAAATAAGGACAGAGTTTTGACATAAGTGAGGCACAACATACCTCAATATTCACAAAAAGTAGCAAATATCTCTGCTTATCAAAATTTCTCAAGGGAAAAAAATTGGTCCATGAGGCTAAGGGTAGGAACAACCGGGCAATGTGAACATAGAAAGGCTGGCGTATAGCTTAATGACAGAGTATGTGTTTAGCATATATGAGGCACTGGGTTCTATCATAAGCACCATGCAGGCAGAGGGTCACTGAGCAAAACATCTTCATCTAGCTTCCTGTTTTTCTTGGAAGGGTTTCCACCTCTGTGTTCAATATACAACCACACCCCCTGGCTTAGAAGATGCCTTTTACTCCTTCATACGGACCTTATAAAGGAAAGTCATGGAGTAAGAGGATAGTAGGCAACCCTAGCCCCAGGGGCCTATACTTATGCCTGTCTCACCCCTAAGAGACTGCATCTGGTTTTCTCTGGAGGAGCTTGAGAACCAAAGTCTCACATTCCTCTCCTTCGTGCTCAGGCCACCAGGCTGGATAGGGCTGTTTGGCAAGATCTTAGCATGAAAGTCAAAGGCACTTCTTTCAACTCCTGCTGAGGCTCCCAGAGCCCCACTCCCATTCTACCCACTGCCTTCCTAGAGCATTGCTCACAGCTCCTTTCTATTAGGAACTCAGGAGAAAGGTCTTGTTAAGCAGCCAGGGGGCCAGCCAACTCAGAAGCAGCAACATGCCCTAAAATGGTCAAAGAAAACTCCACAGGTTTGGCTGCAGCTCAGCTCCTGAAGGAAGGGGGAGAACTGGGCAGGGAGGATGAGCTTAGCATAGCTTCCCCATCACCCGCTTCAAGCCTTAGACCTAAGATTAACCCCTTGTGCTGAAGGCTTACCATTCCATAGCACCTCCAGGGAATGGGGGGACCGAGGAACAGCCTTATTTTCTTTTAGCACGGGGCTGACATAGGAGGCTAAGTAAGGGACAGATGTCCAGATCTATTCAAGGAAAGAGACAGCAATTAACAAACAAAGCTTACTGTAATATTGTAATTCCATTCTTACACCCACCCTCCGTAAGATCTTTAAGGTCTATCTAACTCTCTAGCTTTTCTGTCATCCTACCCTTTCACTCGAAGTTCCTTCGCACCCCCAATGCTCCTGAGAACACCAAGTTAAGGAATCAGAGAAAATGGCATCCTAGAATGGAAGGGGAGAACCTGAACTACTGATACCCTGACTATATTCAAGCGCTACTTCAGCAGCTTGGGAATTTCTGTTTTTCACTGATAAGATGGTTATCAGCCAGGATGAGGGCTACAGTGGTCAAGTGCCTGTAAAATGCCAGGCAATGTTTAGGCATCAGGTAGCCTTCCCTCAGTCTCTCTCTGCAGGGTGCCCTGCTGGCCCACGCCTTGTTCACCTTGGCTGCATTGACGAGTCTCCAGGCATTGAGGAGGCCGAAACCATGCTGATGGCTGTGGCTGAAGCCAGCCGCATTGGTGAGCCAGTCTGCATGATGATCCTCATACTGAAAGAACAGAGGTACTGGTGAAACATTGCAGGACTCCCTTCTCTCTATCTGCCGGCCAACAGATTCAGTCCAGACTTTCACACTGAGGTGACTGGGGATGAATAGTTTCCCTCAAAAAAAAAAAAAAAAAAAAAAAAAAAAAAAAAAAAAGAGAGAGAGAGAAAGAAAGAAAAAAGCTGAGATAAAAGATCAAAGCCCCAGGATCTCACTACCTGAGTGGCCTGTTTCCTGAAAAGGAGCCGAGAGGACCAGCTCCCAAGTGAGAGTGCCCTGCCAGAGCTCATCTTAGGTAGATGGCCTGAGCAGAAGAGGGATGGGTGGGCTCTGCTCTGTGATATTGATGGTCCTTGCACCCATGCTGTACATTTCTCACCAAGAAAGTGTTTCATATACCCACCCACCATTTGAGATGTTCTGACACTGGAGTCTCCTGACAGTCAAACCCTGGAATCGGGTGGGCTGGGCACTTGCTAGCTAGTTGCCGGCTCTAACCTGGGTGGCTGTGAAGACAATGATGTGCTGGATGTCCCGCCATGTGAGGCAGGGCCGCACCTGCAGCATGAGGGCTATCATGCCAGCTGCCAGAGGAGCTGCAGCAGAGGTCCCTGTGTGGCCTTCTGTGCAGCCAGTGCCCTTCTGAAGGTCCCAGTCAGTGGTCACCTGCAAAGTGGAATAAGATAAGGAGTGGGGAGGGGTTAGACACTAGAGAAGGGGAATAGGACAGTCCTCCAAACAGGTGGCCATGCCCTTTCAAGAGCTGTAACTTTCCTTATGCACAGAGGACCAGGCATAGGAGACCCTTAGTCCCCTGGCCTTTGGGATCTCGAGATGGCAGAAACTGAAGAGTGACTTTAGAGGCACAAATGTAGGAAAAGGAGATAGGCACGTGAGATGTGGGTACAGGAGTTTCCTGATTCTTGCTTCTCTAATCCTTTATCATTTCATTCCCAAATTCTCTACCCAACTATCCATAACCCAGCTAGCCAAAAAAGTGGCCAGAGCTGCTACTGAGTCCTAGCTGGAACTGGGAGAGTAACTGGTGAGAGCATGTTCCCCAAGAAGATTATTGCAGCCTTGCTTTAAGTTTGCTACAGTTTCAGTATCACCATGCCTTATCTGCCATGCCAACTGGCCAATAGACCAACCTCAGGACAAGCTGCTCTCCTGCTCTGGTTGGTGTCTTGGTTGGGTTTCTGTGAGCCCCTCTTTCCTACTCATGTTTCTCAGACGAGACATGGAAGTCGGGAAAGAGAGTATCTATTTGGTATCAAGTTCTTTTCATGCCCCATCATGAAAGCACATCAAACATTTAGTTGAGCAAGCCCTGCTAAACCTGCTCCCTCACATAAAGCCAGTACAGGCTAGGACTTTTTTCTTTCAAACTTTTCTTGTGGGTCAGATACCAGGATGCCAACTCCTGCGAGAGCTGTCTTTGCATTCCCAGCCCCCCTTCCCAGCTGTTACAACAGCTGCCAAAAGATGTAATTTTCACCCAGACACTGTGCACTCTCAAAGGAAGGGAAAGACAAGCCAAGTTGTAGTCTTAACGAGAAAGGAAGTCTGGTTGATGCCAAGGAGCAGATTGATTTTTTCCTGTTAAGGAAACAGCCCCACAGTGATAGTCTAGAGTACAGATGTGAAGTCTGTGAACTTGCCCATAATGGCAAGAACATCACACAGCACTAGGAAAAGCTAGGGAAGCTCCCTGGGCAAGAAGCCAGATGTGGGAAGCCTATTCCCCTGGCCCTTACCCTCCATCCAGTTGCCTGGTCACACAAACATGAGGTTGCCAAAGCAAGGGCATTCCAAAGATGGGAACTTGGCTGAATAGTCACTCTTCAAATCCAGACAAATTATAGTTCAGATGGAAGGTGGGGGTGAGGGTGAGGGTGAGAAACTGCATTGAGTTGGGAGGGCAAAGCCAGGCCATGCTGAGCAACAGTGATTCTGCTACAGAGCCTTCTTAGGCCCCGTGCAGGGGGCAGGAGAGGGCAGGTCCCAGAGCTCTGCCAGGTGGTAAAGAGCAGAATAAGTTCCTGTTCTTCCTAACACAGGCTATGGAGTCCCAGGCTGCCCGTAACCATCTTGCTTTTCACTTTTGTCTGCTCCCTTCTCTGGTCTCCCTGGGGTGGGGGTCAACTGGCACAAAGCCTTGGAACATTGTGTTGACCAGAAGTCATTTACTGGCACAACAAACTTTTCATTCTGGAAAATAAACTTGACTCTGTGTGAAGATGAAGCTGCTTAATTCCCAGTGGCCCCAGAGACCTCCCAACTGGCCACTGGCAAAAGCTTACAACCACCTGGCTCCTGCCCAGCTCTGGCCTGGAGTCTTCTGTTCTCACTTGACACTGTTAGTGGCAACAGAGACATACAGGGTGCTTGCTCTAGGACTGTGGTTAGGAGGCCTGATTTATATAGGCTGGGCTGGAGCCCAGCAGAGCTCCTAGAGTCCTTCAATGGTTGTGTGGGCTACAGAAGTGTGTTCTCAGGCTTTGACTTTAATCACAGCTCTAGGGAAGGATGGGATCACACTGATACAAGCTAGCTCCAACTTCTTATGCTGTGCATCCCTGAGATAAGCACTGTCTTTATTCCTGAGGAACAAGGTAGTTAGGATTTATAAAGGGACTGAACAACACTGCTCCATGACCTCAGCCCACAAAAAGTAGTAAAAGTCCAAATTCTACCACATGGATCCTATTACCAAGTTAAAAAGTTTAAGATCAAAACCACTAATGCAGGAGGATCAGGAATTCAAGGTCATTCTCAGATACATAGTGAATTCAAGGCGAGCCTAGTTTATATGAGACCCTATCTCAAGAACAGGTTAGAGGGGAAAAAAAGAAATGTTTTACCAGGTATATGGCATCACACCTGTACTCTCAACACGTGGGAGGCCATATCAGGAAAATGGCTTGCACATTCAAGGAGTCCCAAGCCAGCCTCGGGTACAGGATCAGCCCTTGTCTTCAAGCACCCCACCACCACCGCATAGATCCCAGAGAGGAACCTTGTAAGAAGGGTCCCCAAAGCACTCACAATGCTCCGAAGCATCTTGTCTCCACCACTGAAAGTAACTGCCAGCATGGAGGCACACTCCTCTGCATAAAAAGGCATCCGTCCCTCCTCATCCACAGCACCTGGCACGAAAAAGTGAGACAGACTCTCACTTAAGGAGTGGCTCCTATGGCTGGCACCATATGGTCTGCCCTGAGTTGAAAGAAGGACCAGTCCTCATCTGCATGTGGGCAGGCAGCCTCAACAGGCAGAGGGAATTCTTTTTTTTTTTTTTTTTTAAAGATTTATTACGTACACAATGTGCCTCCTGCATGTACACCCCCATGCCAGAAGAGGGCACCAGACCTCATTACAGATGGTTGTGAGCCACCATGTGGTTGCCGGGAATTTAACTCAGGACCTTCAGAAGAGCAGGCAATGCTCTTAACCACTGAGCCATCTCTCCAGCCCCGGCAGAGGGAATTCTTGCACCATACCACTCTTCCCACCGGCTTCAGGCAAAATCAGTGGCCTTCTGCCTCTGTACTTAGTCATTTGTTTTCAATATTTAGTAAGATCTACTGTAAGTCACACTAAAGACATGTGGAAAGGCCACATCATGGAAGGGGTAGGAAGGAAGTAGAATGCAGTGGTGGAGAGCGGTGGGGACACTCTCTCGTGATCTAGGTACAAAGTCAAATAAGGAAATAATAATAAAAATGGAACGACAACTCTATGATTGGGAGTGTAAGCCAAGTGTCCTTAATTCAGGTTAAAGGGTAGCCAGAGGCAGCTTCAAGCCAGTGGCCATGGAAAGAGACCAGAGAGGAGATCAAACCCATCCGAACAGTAGTGGAGACAGGTGGGTGATTTCTGGGGAATGGCTGAACATGTCTCAGATAACTTCTGAGAGTCTGCAGGAGCTAGGTTAGTCCTATCTGACCTCCAAGAAATGACCATGGTTATACGTTTAGATAAACAGTGAAGTGAGATGCAAAAAACACCCACTGACCCCATTCCCACAGTCTCTAGATCACTACCTATTGTGACAGTGTAGATGGAGTTGGCATAGCCATCATAGTTGCAGTTGTCATTGTGCTGGCCCCCATTACCGCTGGCAACCACAAAGATACTCCCAAAGCCCTGGCGACCAGCCATCACTCCGTGTTGTAAGGCGGCCTGAAGAACAAAAATGTCAGGCCATTAGTCAAGGAGCTAATAAAAAGACCTGTACCTACTGGACCAGGTCTCTTCTCCTCCCACTTCTAGGAAAGGAAAATGGAAAGGGCACTGGGCAAGGGGGAAGGAGATTTAGACACAGACACAAGGTGGGAGAAAGCTAAGAGTTAAAGAGTATTTGACAAATATATTCTTCTTATCAGATGACAGAGCAGGGCGAGGAGCAGAAACCCAGAATGAGATTCAAGAGAAACAAGCTGAAAGCCATTCCATCCCTTCCACTGGTCCATCCTGAGGAAGGCACTCTTTCTTGAAAGGATGGATGGCACAGCTATGCTAAATGGTGCAATCTGGGGACTACGAGGGTGAGGTGGGAAGAGGGTTTGATTGGTGTTTCTTCTAGAACTGAATGAAGAGGATATTAAGTTTCCCAGTCTCTATACACCTCAGTTACCTTTCCGAGCTGGTGAGGACCATCCACTGTCTTCCCATCATCATCTGGGCCCCAGCTGTTGAAATATGCAAAGGGAACGGTGGAACCAAGTTGGAGCTACCCAGTTAGGGTCTCTGTTCTATCAGACCACTCTTCTGCCTGCAGCTTTTACTCTTCTCCTAAGGAACCCCATGATTAAAAGACACATGGTATCAAGGGTCCATTTTCTTCCAAAGTGAAAAATGGAAGTAAAAAGTTCTTCTTTTACTTAGAAATCTCCCCAATTTAGGATGACTTTATCCTGTCTTCTCTTTCTCAGGTCCCAGGAAGCAGAAGATACATAGTGGAACAGGAGCAGGATCATTCCTGTGATCTACAGATCTACTACTAGGTTGTAGTAGATGATGATTAGAGTTGTTCAAATTACATATGCTTTTAAATCTTTTTTTAATCAAATTTTATGTGTGTGAGTGTATGTACAATGTATGTATAAGTACAACATCTGCAGACTGCCTGAGGAGGCCAGGTATCAGAGACCCTCAAACTGGAGTGACAGAGGGTTGTGAACCACCATGTGGATGCTGGGAACCTAAACCAGGTCCTCTGCAAGAGCATTAAGTGTTCTTGGTCACCAACCAGTCTCTCCAGATCTAAGTCCCCCCCCCCCCCCTTGGTTGTTGTTGAGACAAGGTCTGACTATATAGCCCTAGCTGTCCTAGAACTCATGTAGACCAGGCTGGTTCAAATTCACAGATCCACCTGCCTCTGCTCCTGAGTGCTGGATGTGTTAAAGGTATGTGTTATCATGCCTGGCAAGTTCTTGGTTCCTGAGTACGGCCTATGAGATGTCTCAGCAGTAAAGATGCTTACTGTGTAAGTCTACTGACTTGAGTTTGATCTCTGGAGCCATATAAAAGTAGAAGGAGAAAACTGTCTATACAAAGTAGTCCTCTGTCTGACCATGGCATGGGCATACAACCCCTTCCCACTAATAATAAATAAAATTTAAGAATTTAAGAAAGGTATTAGTTTTGGGGAAGAATAGGCTCTATTAGTAAGAATGGGGGCTCCCACCCTAAGTTCCTCTTATCCAGCCACTTGATCCACAGTCTAAAGCTTCATGTGCAGTTTTGAAGGAGGTACTGAGGTTCAGCCCACTTTCTTCTAAGAGCCTTGTGAGTTTAGACAATGTAGGCATGTTGGGGCATTCTGTGTGGCGACCTGATTACTAGAGTGACGAGTGTTTAACACTGAGGACCGAGGCTGGGGATCTAGATAAATGAGGAAAACAGCCTTATTAGCTGAGTCCAAGCACGGACCCCCTGCTACACCACAGGTAGCCTGCTTTGCTAAGCTTCTGTTGAAGATCTGTCCCACACACTCCAGGCTCTCACCCTCTCACCTGCAGCTCTCCTTACCTGCAGCTGTAGATGTCATTGATCTGATAGTGCTTGTTGAATGCCACAGCCTCCATACTGTCTGTGAGTGGTCCATCCAGCACTCGGATACCTGGGCATTGAAGAGACACCAGCTCCTCACTAAGAAACTAGAAATAGTACATATTCTCCAAGTGGGCTGCCAGGTGGTAGGGAGGTGTATGTAGAAGACTTACTTTCCCTATATGTTTTTTGTACTTTTGTGTGTGCATGTTTCATGGCTAAATATGTGTGGGGGTATGAATGTATTATGTATATATGTATATATATATGTGTGTGTGTGTGTGTTTGGAGGCAAAATATCTCAGGTATCATTCTTCAAAACCCTCGTTGTTTTTGACACAGGGTCTCTTATTGAGACCCAGGGCTTGCCAATTAAGTTAGGCTGGCTGGCCAGTGAACCTAGGGATTCATCTGTTTCTGTCTTCCAACACTGGAATCAAAAAAGTACCCACTCATTTCCAGCTTTTTACACGGGTGCCTGGGATTGAACTCGGGTCCTCATGCTTGCATGACAACACTTCACAGAGCTACATATCAACCCCTCTTCTGTAGTATGGATCATTACACAATATATACATATTACTAGTTCAAAAATTTATTTTTTTTTTTAAAGACAGGGTCCCAGAAAGCATGTTTACCTTAAACTTAATACATAGCAGCGGATGAACCTGACCCTCCTGCTTCTACTTGCCAAGTTCTGGGATTTTGGCTAGACAATTATATACCACCATGCCTAGCTTTCAAAGGTGTCTTTTCCTATCATGCTTGAACTTAGATCTAATGATCCTGGGAGGTGGGAAGCACTATATTTCCCCTTAGCTTGGCATTTCACATGAAACACCTAGCTTGTGCTTGACACAATAAAGGATTAAGTGAATAGCACTCATTATCTTTGCTATCCCCATCTAAAATGGAGTTGGCCACATTGTGGTGACAAGGTAAGGACAAGTGGAAATTTCAGAAGGGGCTTGAACCCTGAGGGTTTCTGGCCTCTTCCGTAGTCTCATTTGCAGAGTGCTGAGGCCCCCTGCTGGAGAGCATGAGGGTTACAGCCAGCCAGTTGAGGTTGCAGGTTCCCAGGTTGTCATCAGGATCCAGGGGTAGTGCTCATACTTTCCCCCTTGATTCACAAGTCAGAGAGAGGAATGCACCATAGAACTATCTCCAGCTGGAGTCTAGGCTCTCTGGAAAGAATGGAGAGCAGGAGACTGGAAAGTGGGACTCGGAGAGCAGCCCCCATAGATGTGGAGTAGTGGAAGGCAAACTGATGAGAAACACTAGCAGAGCATAGTCAGGTTGAAGGAGTTGTTACAGTGATCCGGGCCATAATCAGAAACAGGAAGGAGACTTGAGCAGGTGCAGCTTGGGACCTCCAGCCCACAACAGGGGCATTTCCACGTTTACCTGTTTTATACTGTAAAATAAATACTGTTGCTAAAAAGCCCATTTGAAATACCACGGCTCTGAAGTCAATGAATTCATCAACTCATTCTTACTCTTTACTGTAGGCTACAGACATTGAGGATGGGAAAAAGAAATTTTCAGAATGGGGAAGAGGATAGAAAATGACCACTGTGTCCCAGGAGCTTCCCAAGCATAGGGGAAGCATGAGTTACCTGCTATTCGGCTCCCATAGGCCACACCCACTGCACAGAAGCTGTTGTTGGGCACAGCTGCAATTTCTCCTGCACACCGAGTCCCATGGTGGTTACCATTCTCCGCATCAGGGTGAGGCATAGGATCTGGGTCATTGGAGTTGAGGTCATAGCTACCCTCTGGGCTCTGAAACATTGAGGGGCCAACAAGTGGTCACTTACTGGTTAGAATGGGTCAGTTTCTAAATGTCATAGAGAACAGGAACTAGGAATTTCCACCTCTTAAGTCAGAGTTAGCAAGTCCATCACCTTGAGCAAACAAGGGTTATAAGATAGGAGCCAAGGACACTGGGGAACAACTGAGAGGGGCCAAGGCTTTTAGCAAAGCACCCCTCTTGCTGGGGGAAACCCAAGATAAAAGAGATCTCAGATTCTCTAAAAGACACACCTTAGTCAGTTTTCAGAACCTCTGAGGAGAAAGCAATAGCCTATAAGGCCACTCCCTGCTCCCCAGGGAAGAAGCAGTAACAACAGGAAGCAGGAAGTATTGCCTGGAATTGCTCTTACTATAGACTAAAAGTCACCTTGTGGGCCTTAACTGCCAGTCTGGAAAGCTGACTGAGAAAGGAGAGTGAAAAAACACTGTCCACCCTCCACCCCTCCCAGCCAGGATGTTTGGCTTGGCACAGCACTTTCTAGGAAAGGGAACAAAAGGGAGGTAACACCAAAGAAAAGGAGTAATGTGGCAGCAGGGGGTCATTCCAGGCCACTCACATAGTTGGGCGCAATGTCCTGGATGGTGTGCTCCACTCCATCGTCCACCACCACCACTGTCACCCCTCGCCCAGTTACATTTCGTTCCCACACACCTGTCACATTGATGTCTCTGCCTGGGCTTCGTCGATTATTCTGTAGGAGAGACAGAGAAATCCAGGGACACATAGCTTGGCCCAGAGGGACAAGTTAAAGCTACCCCTTCCCTTGGAAGAGCTAAACCAAGATTATAGACCAATAAGTTAGTGGCGAATACAGTGCACTAACAGAATGGCACATAAGAGTCCTGCCCTCCATTCCTTGGTATCCAAGATAGTTCGACATCACTTGCTGGTAACTTGGGGTGAAAAGAGCTAAGTGGTAATTATTACACAATAAGGGTAGCAGTTACCATGTGTAAGGCATTTTTCTGAGTGCTTCATATACACGCTGCTACACGCTCCATTTTACAGGGGTGCACAGAGGGTGAAGCAGCTCAGCCAAAGGGACAGAAAGCAGAAGGGTGAACAGGAGCCCGGGTAGACTAGCCGAGCACACACACCCACAACACTCTGCTGCTCTTCACGGCAGACAGCAAAGGTATGGGCTGAGAGCAAACTCTCTCAGTCCACAGACATGCCCCTCAGTCAAGTACACTAGAGCAGACCCTGTCTATCTGAGCTGTACTTACCAGGTGCCACTGCTGAGGATACTTGGGATCATTGAAGTGGATGCTGCGCTTAGCCCGCTTCAGCAGCCTCTGCTCTGAATGCCAGCGCACAGCTTCATGCCTGGCTAACACAGCCTCTGCCTGCTGCCGCATAGCCTCCACCTCCATGGCTTGCCTGTGCCCAGCTGGCTGGACAAAGAGGTAGTGCCCCTGGAGCTCTCCAATGCGCCCAGCATTCACCAGCCCTGCTGCCTGAGCCACAGCATCTGCCTGTTGCGTCAGACTCTCTTCCTTCCTCTCTCCTTCAAGGCTGTCCAGATGTACGGCCCAGCTTAGCCCCCCTGCACCCAAGGTGTCAAGCCCACCTGCTTCTGACAGGCCCATGACCCAGGGAACCATAAAGAAGAGCCCAGCTAATTCCAGCCAGAGGCAGATGGGCAGGCCCAGGGGGGCATCCAAGTGTGGGACTTTCTGTCTCCCTTTCGGCATCAGAACAGCAGGCTGCAGACAAAGGGACAGGATATCAGCAAAGAAAGAGGCAGCAACTGCAGGGATCACAGGGTAGCTATGGTCTGTCAGTTACCAACTACATTTGTCACTAATCAAAATGTTAGCCCCAAGCTGGAGTATGAGCCAGGGCTAACCCCAGGGGATGACCTTCTGTGGCACAGGACCATCCCTGCTGCCCCAATAGCCTTGCATCATCCAAGTGCTCATGGGTTTCAGGCAGCTCACTCAGAGTATTCAAAGTACACATCACTCCCATGACTGACAGCATCAGGACCCCACCTCCCTCTTTTATGACAGACTCATCATGTAGCTCTGGTTGTCCTGGAATTCACTATGTAGACCAGGATGGACTCAAATCCCTCTGCCTGGGATTACAGGTATGTGCCACCATACCCAGCTCCATCTCCCTCTTATTTAGAGACAACATTAATCTTTTTCCAAGCTGACTTCTGACTCCCACAGCGGGGCCCCATTCCTACCTGGGCTCTCTGTGAAATTTAGGTCTTGGTCTGGGTAACCATGTCACATTCATTTTGTGAAACTGGAGGAAAGGTGTCACCTTCACTGTGAGCAGTGCTGACTGGGAACACAAGCTGCAGACCTGTGGGCCCCAAGAATGGAGGGAAAGTGTCCCACTATAGCCAGCAAGGCAGGAGCTGTAGTGAAGGCCGGGACAGAGCAGTGGGCAATGTTAAGCTTCATTTCAGGGATGTAAAATTAGTCATAGACTGGAAGAGGTCCCTCACAACACGGCCCCATCAACATGAAAACCAGGTACCCCACTTCCTGACCTATCATGTCATTCTCTTCTCATTTTCTTCTCTAAAAGCTCAGCAGGACTTAAAGGCTAGCACCCCATTACCAGGCAACTAGCAATACAGTCCACAGCAACTCAGGCAGGGAAATCAAGCAGAAAACAGAGAATAAAACTAGCAGGCGTACATGCATGTGGGTAACTGCAAGAGTGGGACTGACTGGCAGGAAGGACTAAGAGCTGTCCCTGTCTCAGCAAGTCGGCTTTTCACTGAGGACACCCAGAGAACTGCCAAATCAGAACCAGCAAGCAACTGTGGCCATTGTGGAGGAAAGGGACAAGGCTCATGTGAGCTTCTGAGCTCCTGCAGAAGCCACTACTGCTTACTGAGCCCTCCCTGGAGCAGTCTTAGTACCCACCCACACACTCGGATGGGGCCAACTTAGAACACTCTAGAAAACGTACTCTGTCTTACCAAAGACTCCTTGGAAAGGGAGAGAAGTTATGCCACTAAGCACTCCGCTCCCAAAAGTTCCCATTAATGTAACTCATCCCTTTCCCTTGATTTCTGTTTCCACTTTTTTACTTTCTCTATATAAACAGTTGAGAACTCACGGTCCTCTTGCTTCTACCTCTCTACTGCTGTGATTACATGTGAGGGCCACCATGCCCTGGCTTTCCAGGGCAATTCCCTCTTACATCTCTCCCGCCCCTCCGACTGTCCCAGGATAGCTAGGTATCTTCCCCGGTCTTCACAGAAGTAAATCCCGAATCTGCTTAGAGAGCAGCCACTCACCCTGGCAAGCTCCTACAGTCTCTGGAGGTTCCACCCCAGATTTCTGCAAGAGAACCCGAGCTTTTCCTGTTGCCCAGGGGGATAGCAGCCCTTATCCTCGGGCTTCCGGGTCCCGAGAGCAGACACCCCCCTCCCCCAATTCCTCAACTACTAGGCCCATCAAAACAGCATTTAGTTATCAAGGAAGAAGGACATCTCCCCGGTTCAAGATTCTGCTCTTTAACCACTGCCCTTCAAGCCCCTTCACCTTGCTCAAAGGAACCAGGGCAAGCAGAGAACGTGGGTTCCACTGGCGGCCCCTCCCAGCGGCCTCGGTTGCTCTGTGCAATGCGCCCCTCTCTCATCAGGACCTATGCTACCCGGAACCTCAGACCCGGAGGCCCCGTCCCGTTGGGGAAGAGCACGCCAGGTCCCAAGGTGCCCTCGGCGCAGCTCCTCCTCCGCCTGTGCCGTCCGCTCCAGTCCAGGGCCACCCGGATTTCCGAGGTCCAGCCCGCTACACCTACTCTCCAACTCACCCGCAGCAGCCTCCTCCTCCTCCTCCGCCGCCGCCTCCCTGCGGAAACTCGCGGCTTCCCGGGAGCCGGAGGAGCCACTGACAGCAACATCACTTCCGCCTGGCGCCGCAGCCAATCAGCGGCTGGGCCTGCGAACTCTCGCCCCGCCGCGAGCCGAGTACCGGGCGCTCGGCCGACTCCCGCCGACCGCTTCCGCCGCGGGCCCGTGCGGGCTGTGCGGGCTTCGGCGCCCCGCGTCCTCCAGTCCTCCTCCACAAGACCCCTCCACCAGAGGGCCTTCGTTCTTCATGGCGTCCTCTGAAAGGACCGTCTCGGTTCCGACCTCTAAACACCCCCCGCGGCTCTTCTCCCTCGGACGGCCATGGCCTTGACTCTTCCCCGTAACCTCCTCAGAGCGGCTTCCGCCTCCACCGGGTCGCAGTCTCTGGCCCGCGCCCCCTCAGGCTCCTCTGTGTCTCAGGGTTCTCCGGCGGCGGCCCCGTGGTCCGGGCGCTGCTCGTGTGAGCCGCCAGAGGGCGCCGTCGCCGGCGGCGCGCACTCCGCGGGGCCGCTCCTCTCGTCGCCCCGGTCTTGCCCCCTGCGCTCGCGCCGCCGGAAGTGGGAGGTGCCGCGCGCGGGTCGGCGCTCGACCCCTCCCCCAGGCTCGGCCGCCCCCTCCCCCTCTCCGCCCGCTCAGGTGCGTCCCTTCCCTCCCCCCCTCCCGCCTTTGCTCCCCGGGGGCGCGGCGCGGGAGGTGTGTGCGGGGCGGCGCGCGGGCTGGTGCGGCGGGACTAGGGGGCGCGGCGGGGGGGCGGGGAGGGGGCGGCGGGGACGGGGGCGGGAGCCCGGCCTGGGAGTGGGACGCGGGGGGACCGGGGGCTGACGACCGGTGAGGACCGAGGGGCAGGGGTGGATGTGCCGCTGGCCGGTGCTAGCGGCCGGCGTAGGGGCGGTCTCCTGTGAAGAAGAGTGGCGGCGACCACCCGGCGCTGCTTCCCCCCATTGTCCCCTTCTGCGTCGCCGCCTGGCTGGTGACCGCCACCGGGTTGCGGGATTCCCTTGGGCATACTGGGCTGACTCTCCAGCCAGATGTGCGACCCCCACCCATATCGCTTTGGGCTCTAGCCGCGGAGTTTCACGTATGACCCTTGCTTAAAGGTATTCGTTTAGCGGGCATCGGTGGCCCAGACCTTGTTCCCTGTAAGAGGCTATGGTCCCGACCCTGTTGGAGGCAGAGTGTTTGCATTTGAGACAGCAATGGCGTTTCAGGGCCCATTTTCACCCTGAAGCTTTTTATTATGAGAGGAAACTGAGGCGCTGAGCTGTGACTGTTATTTGAGCCTGACTCAGTATCTGCTCTTAAGCACTCTTCTGGGTTCGGAGGTATTCCTGTGGTACTGTAAAATAAGAACAGGAATGTGAACTAATCCTATCTTCACCACCTTCTTAGAAGGCCGAGTTTATTCTGCAGCATAAAGGGCGCTTTTAAAAATAAAAATAAAGCATCTCCCTGGGTTACCAAATAGCAACCTGTTTTGCCTTAATGGTAACTGGCTAGTCTATCCCTGGCAGGTAGCAGACTATCCCCATCCATAGGGAAGGAACACTGACAAGGTAAAAGACACCCCGTGGAGATGGTCCAGTATGGTATGACTTGTTCTTGGAAACACCTCCCAAAAAACCCTTCCCTTAAATTAATAGAGAATGCTTTGGCTGCAACAGCCAAAAAGATTTTTAAACATATTGATTGTGGGCCAAAAAGGCCATCTTTTATAAATGGTAGTAGATAAAGTGGACCATTTGGAAAATTAATGTCATATTGTCATCTATTTTAAATGACAGTATTTCTGTCAAGAGAGAAAGTAAAGGCTTTGCATAGCCTTCTAGATATTTATGTACATCTGACCTATCCTGAGGGTTGGTGCTAGCTGGGACTTAGGGTGTGAAGTGGGTTTTTTATTGCCCTCCTGCAGATACTCACTCTCGGATGTTTTTTTTCAGAGCTTTAGTTCTTGGTGCTTGGAGGAACCAATGCAGTGGGCATTCTGCAGAAGAAAGTTTTCAGCTTTGTAACCTGTATCCTGTCCTTTTTTGAATTTCCAGAGTGCAGATGGCGGCCTCTGAGGTAGCTGACCCTGGGGCCAGTGCCCCCAGTCCTTTGGAATCCTCTACTTTATGTGCTTCCAAGTCAGAAGAAGCTCTCCCAGATGGCCTAAGGTAACGTGCAATCTCTTGAGGCTTATTTAAGTAAGGGGTTTGGCGATGAGCCTCTGAAAGGCGCATTTCCTCCTTGGTGCTATAATGGCACTGCAGATTAAGTTTTTTCCCCTCCCCCAGACTAATTTTTTTTAAAGTGGGGGCTGCTTGGTTTTTGTGTGGTATAGCAGCTGGCACTTGGGCAGGTGTGCTGGGTTAGAGCAGGTATCAAGACATCATAAATGCATATATTTCTCTGACTTGTCCTATACAAACAATATGCTCGTTTAAACATTCTTGTGTATGGTGCTTCTTTCTTTCTCTCTTTTCTTTCTTTTTTTTTTTTTTTTTTTTTTGGATAAGATCTGACTTTGTAGCCCTGGCTAACCTGGAATTCACTATGTCGACCAGGTTCACCTCAAACTCAGAGCAATCCACTGCCTCTGCTTCCTTAGTACTGGGATTGAAGGGATGAACCACTATGTGTGGCCATATTCGTGTTTTTTAAAAATTATTATTTATTGTGTATTGTGCATGATGGGAATGAGGGAGGTGTGTGTACATTTGGAGGCCAGAGGACAGCTTTGTGGATTTGGCTCTCATTATTATATGGGTCCCAAGGATCAAACTCAGGTTACCAAGCTTTTGTGGAAAGCATCTTTATATGTCAGCCCTCATATTCATTTATAAGATACTTGGCTATATAGGAAATATATACAGGCTTATATGTGCAAAATTTAAACATAAACATATATGTGTATCTATCCATCTTGATATCATTGTTAATATATTTTATTGCTTAATGTATGTGTCTTATTAAGATATATTGTTCTTTTGTTCTTTTTTCCCATCCATATTTATTTTTGTCTTTTTTTTTAATAATTTATTTAGCCAGGTGGTGGTGGCACACACCTTTAATACCAGTACTTGGGAAGCAGAGGCAGATGGATCTCTGTGAGTTCGAGGCCAGCCTGGTCTACAGAACTACACAGAGAAACATTGTCTCGGAAAACCATAAAATAAATAAATAAATAGCTTATTATTATTATTTTATGTGCATTGGTGTTTGTTCTGTAGGTATGTCCTTGTGAGGGAGCCAGATCTCCTAGACCTAGAGTTATAGACAGCTCACAGTTGTGAGCTGCCGTGTGGGTGCTGGGAATTGAACTCAGGTCCTCTCTCTTAACCTCTAAGCCATCTCTCCAACCCCTACCAAGTTTGTTTTTATTAAGGATATTTTTTTTTTTTCTCTTTTTGAGATAGGGTCTCACTAGTAGCTCTGGCTGATCTGGAGCTGGCTCTGTAGACCAGACTGACCTTGAACTCAGAGTTCATCTGATTCTGCTTCCCATTTGTTTAAATTTAGTGTTTATGTGTGACGTACATGCCATAGTTTTCATGTGAAGATCAGAAAAACCTGCTAGAATTGATGCTCTTCTTTCACCATGTGGCCCAGGAGACTCCAAGTTCAGTTAGGCTTGGTAAGCTCGTGCCTTCCCACCTTGAGCCATTTTGCTGGCCCTAAAACTCTTTGTGGTTCTTGTTTGTTTTTTTGAGGCAGGTTCTCTTGTAGCTCAGGCTAACCTCAAACTCACTATGTGGCTGAGTCTAATCTTCTTGTCTCTACCTCTTAATTGTGTGGGCCACCACACTCAGCCCTTTCCTCCTAAGTCTTGCAAGTATGAGTTGTGATTAACTAACCTTGTCTCTTTTGGTTTTTCGAGACAAGGTTTCTCTGTAGCTTTGGAGCCTGTCCTGGAGCTTGTTCTATAGACCAGGCTGGCCTTGAACTCAAAGAAATCTGCCTGTCTCTGCCTCCTCAATGCTGGGATTAAAGGTATGTGCCACCACTGCTTGGCTAAGTATTTGTTTTTAAAAAGAGGTATTTGAGCCAGGTATGATGGCACATATGTGTAGTAAGAGATGTTTGTCAATGAATGAGTAATAGGGGGCATGTTATATAAGCCTACCATAAACTTGTATCTCTCTATATGTCTTGATTTTCTAAATAAAAGCAGCCATGACTTACTACTAGTAGTAATAGCAGCCAAAGGTTATTGCATGATCTCTGTTAAGTGGATGACACTATTTCTGTGTGGAAATGAAATAACTTGTCTAGAGGCAAACAGCTAGCAAATTGTAGAGCTTGGGTTTAAATCCAGGTACTGTATTTGCTCAGGTTTATAATTAAGTTCCCTGCTCCCATTCCACAGTTGGTTCTCAACAAAAATCACTGAGTATTTGCTTGGGGAGGATAGGACATTTTTCTTCAGTGGCCTTGGATTTTGTGTGTGTGTGTGTGTGTGTGTGTGTGTGTGTGTTGTTTTAAGACAGGGTTTCTTTGGAGCTTTGGAGCCTGTCTGGAACTCACTCTGTAGGTCAGGCTGGCTTTGAACTCACAGAGATCTGCCTTCTGTCTTCCCCCGAGTGCTGGGATTAAAGGCATGCACAACCACCACCTGGCTGTGTTTTGTTTTGTTTTGAGATAGTGTTTCTCTGTGTCTCTGAGACCTTGCT